GCACCGTTTCGACGGAGGTGGCGTGCGCGTTGGCCGGAACTCCCCCGTGGGATTTGGAGGCGGAAGTGCTCGCCGAGGTTTATCGGCGAGTGGCTGACTGCCGGGCGGAGAGCGGATTTCGCCCTCCGCCCGAGGATGTGCGCGAGTGGCGCGAAGCCGCTCGCCGAGCCACGATGGCTCGTTGGTCGTTCCGGCTGGAGACTCCACGCGCTGGCTTCGCCGCCGTGGAGGCTTTCCAGCCGGTCATCGCCGAGTGGGCAGGGCGGCAGCACGGGACCCTTTCCTTCCGACTGACGCAGGTGCTTTCCGGGCACGGTTGCTTCGGGAAGTACCTGCACACGGTCGCTAGGAGGGAACTGAGTCCCGCCTGCCACCACTGCGACTGCAGTGAGGACTCGGCCCAGCACACGCTGGCGGTCTGCCCCGCATGGGCGGCGCAGCGCCGGGCCCTCACTGCAGTCATCGGAGTGGATCTCTCGCTACCGGCCGTAGTACGCTCCATGGCCGGTAGCGACAGTTGTTTTACCGCGGTCGCAACCTTCTGCGAGGTAGTAATCTCGCGGAAGGAGGCGGCGGAGAGGGCCCGGGAGGACGACCTCCACTCGGACCCGATCCGCCGCCGGCGAACCGGGCGGCGGAGGCCCGCCTATCACAGCCTCATGCCGCCCTGAGTGTGGCCGCGGGTGGACGGGGTGGGTTTCCCCTCCACCCGCATTAGTTGGCCAGCCGCGAGGGGGCGGCGTCCGCGTGTGCCGGACGTCGCCTAAAGAGAGGAAAATGTATTGAGACGGAGCCCGCAACAGGAGCGGGCTGGCGCTAGGAGGGGTCCGGATGTCTTAACAACAGCTGTTCCCGGATCCCTCCTGTTACAGGCGCAGAGTGGCACACCGTGTGGTTTTAGTCGGTCCGAGTCCGACACACCACCCCGCCGCAAACCCCGGAGGGGTGACGGTCCGAGGGGATTTCCACACGTTAAAAAAAAAAAAAAAAAAAAAAAAAGGGTTTGTTTCAAGTTTTCCTTCTCTTTGCAGTGCTGTTGTCCTGCTTAGTTTGCTCCCTTAGTCGGCTCTTACAACACCCACGGGATGAATTGGGGTGGTGACAATTTGTATTCTTAATCCGTCACCACACGGACAGATCTGATCTGATCTGACAATGCAACAGTTTAAATTAACCAACTATTTAAACTGCCGAGGGAGAAAAATGCTTCAACAGAAATGGGCAGGCTCGACCGGAGAGATACTCTCGTTGCTTTAATAATATTAGCTTTAAACATCTCACACACGGCCGTCTGGTTCCAAACGACCTATGGTAACCAGACTGCTGATAAACACACTCATATATTTCTAAATACATACATATTATAGATAAATTACACCCAGGCACAGAACAAATCATCGTGTTAATCATATAAGTATTTGTCCTGGGTTGGATTCCAACCCACGACCTCCGGCTTAGCAGTCAGGGTCACTAACCACTAGACCAACAGTCGCGTCTTTTTACTGAGTGAGTGGAGCCCAAACCCCGTCTCTCCCTGCTTCTAGTGGGAGGAACTCAAAATGCTGCAACGTAGTTATGACTCTTGAGTTGGTGAAAGTCATGAGCAGTTGTAGTTACTTACCATCCGTGGACACATCAGCTCGTTTGTCTCCTTATATTATTAAAAAATCAGGACAAGTGAGTGCCGGACTCGCCCACTGAGGTTTCCGTACACATTTTTAGGTATATATTATAAATAGTTCAGGAATCGAATCTCGCAGTTTTTGCCGAGCATTTCCCGAAATTCAATTTCCAAAACCATAAACAAAATTCCAAAATAATTACTAATATTCTTAAGTTTTATAAGTGAAATTGTACCTCGATGATTGATATCTATCAACAGCCATTACTAGTCCACTGCTGGACATAGGCCTCTCCTTAGAAAGGAGGGTTTGGCCTACTATACCACGCTGGCCAGACGGGTTGGTATAGGGTTTGTTTCACGTTTTCCTTCTCTTTACACTGCTGTTGTCCAGCGTAGTTTGTTCCCTTAGTCGGCTCTTACGACACCCGCGGGACGAATAGTGGTGATGACATTTCGTATTCTTAATCCGTCACCACACGGACTTGAATGATCGATAACGTACTTTAAATAAAGACTTTATTTTTATGGCTCATTTACAAATGTATAGTTTTCATATTTTTCCCTGTACTTGTAGTATAAGATGTTAATACTTTGAGAAAAATACTATATAATACAACTTCATTACTTCTTGAAGATATTCTAAAAACGCTCGAATCAACAACCAAGAAAACGACAAACACTGAAAGCTATATTACCGAGTTCATTAAATGGAAAGAACACTTGAACTAACACTCGATACTTCGATAGTATTCTGTCGATTTGCACCGCAGCCATCGACGTTTGAATATTGAGCAATAAACCCGCCAGACACTCGAGTAGGGACCAATAATGATTGAACAAGATAGACTAGATGAAACTAGAAAATAAAAATAGCTGGCCTAAAATTGGTTTTGCTTGATCACTACATGTTTGTTTTTGATATCTCAATAAAGATTGAACTTATTGTAAGTTATTTTTGCAGTGCTGTTGTCCTGCATTGTCCTTAGTCAGCTCTTACGACTCTCACGGGATGAATAAGGGTAGTGACACTCTGTATTCTTAATCGGTCACCACACGGACAGTAATTTTGAGTAGTATCAAGAAACATATTGAGCAGAGCTACATTAAAGAACCGCATTTTAATTAGGATAGTGAAGTGTGTAAAAAGCCCAACTCTTATTAAAGTAATCAAGAAATCAATAAATTTGAGTTAATTTTTATTTGAACAACCGCTTAAATACAGCCTACGCCTTACACAAAATATTATATTAACGAACATATTAGTTGATTGATATTAAAAACTCACTTCTTTCATAAAAAAAAATATATACTTAAAAACATAGTAAGTTTAATTCCGTCGGATTATTGCTCACGTCAATAAAACCTTTTTCATTTCCCTAGGGCTTTCTTTTTAAAATTATAAATTCTCTTCGCGTCAATTCCGTTAATCTATTTTGCATCTAAATCGTCGAAATGGCATCCAAGTGTCGTTATTTAGTTTTTTTTTTTCTCTTTCCATAAGAAACGCGGGTGAAATTACATTTCGGCCATTTCTATTAAGCGGACCCCTGTCACTATCAACGGATAGCGGACAGCGGACGTGTTTATAGTGATGTTAGCTCCCTCTGTCGGTTTTACTTGTTTTTATTAAGGAAGATCTCAACTTATATTGAAACTCTTTTGTTCTTTTTTTAAAACAATTTGGGAGTCGTAGGGTAGATTTGAATTCACATAAGTTGGTATATAGTGTTTTGTAGTACTTATAATGATATTAACTTGACACATCTGAAGTGTGCGGGTTGCGGGAAGTCGGTAATAAAACACGTGTTTACGCCACCAATGTTTTAATAAGACTCACCAGTTTAATTACATACTTATTGCTTATATAGAATTACATACTTATATAAAATTACGTGTACCACACTACACATCTCACACACAGCCATCTGATGGACTAGACAAAGCCTGCACTGTAGTAACTAGACTGCTGATAAGCATACCTTTATATTTTTAAATACATAACATACATAATACATAACATACATTGACGGGCCTGTTGGTCTAGTGGTTGGTGACCCTGACTGCCAAACCGGAGGTCGTGGGTTCGACTCCCACCCAGGACAAATATTTGTGTGATGAGCACGATTGTTTGTTCTATGTCTGGGTGTAATTTATCTACTATATAAAAATAAGTCGGGTTTTCCTTCCTGACGCTATAACTCCAGAACGCACGAACCGATTTCCACGGCTTTGCATTCGTTGGAAAGGTCTCGGGCTCCGGATGGTTTATAGCAAAGAAAATTCTGGAAAAAATTCAACAGAAAAGCGGGAAAATCTTTTTTCACATACAGTGCTACAAACCAATATTTTAAGTAGATGGCGCCGGTGCGTGATACATTGTTTGACAGCTACTCATTGTTCTCTGCTCAGTTAATTTCATGTGACAAACCGGTATTGTGTTCACTGTGAAATTGTGAAAAAAAAGTAAAAAAAATAAGTTATTCATTTCCTAACATTTCAATTGGAAACCATCAAATCAATCACGTGTATGGTGTAAATTTGAAAATCTTTTTTCACATACAGCGCCATCTCTGATACATAGCATGTACTACAAACCAATATTTTAAGTAGATGGCGCCGGTGCGTGATACATTGTTTGACAGCTACTCATTGTTCTCTGCTCAGTTAATTTCATGTGACAAACTGGTATTGTGTTAACTGTGAAATTGTGAAAAAAAAGTAAAAAAATAAGTTATTCGTTTCCTAACATTTCAATTGGAAACCATCAAATCAATCACGTGTATTGTGCAAATTTTTATTCAATTTCAACAGCAGGCATTTGTCTTTAAGGTGGTAAGTTGAACTGTGTAAATTATGTGGATCGTGCATTTGAGGTTAAATTCACCACTCTGTCCATAGTCCAAAATGCCTAGAGGACGACGTGCGAACATCGGCCGCCGCACAAGACATGCAAGCCAGCAACAAGTGTATTCACAGAACATAAGCGAAGAAAGACAAAATACAGCCATCAGGCAAAGCTACGATCTGAGGACTATATACACTTGCGTGATGCTATTCATTCAGATGGTGATGTTCAGAATATTGGACGTCTGACAATTCTCCCATCTTCTTATATCGGAAGCCCCTGCCACATGCACGAATACGCTCAAGACGCTATGACGTACGTGCGAAATTATGGAACTCCGGATTTATTTATTACGTTCACATGCAATCCGAAGTGGACGGAAATTGAACGTGAGTTGGAACCGGGCCAAAAACCGCAAGATCGCCATGACATAATCGCCAGAGTATTTCAGCAAAAACTCAAGGTTGTGATGGATGTGCTTACTAAGTATCGAGTTTTTGGTGACACACGTTGTTATATGTACTCGGTGGAATGGCAGAACGTGGACTACCTCATGCTCATATCCTAATTTGGTTGCTGAACAAATTACATTCAAATGAAGTGGATGACATCATATCAGCTGAAATTAATGATCCAGTCACTGATCCCCATCTACACGACATTGTGACGACACAGATGGTGCATGGACCGTGCGGTGCATTAAATCCATTATCGCCTTGCATGGCTGATGGAAAGTGCACAAAACGATATCCGCGACCGTTAGTTACTGAAACAGTCACAGGGAACGATGTATATCCAGTTTATCGTCGGCGTTCAAAAGAAGATAATGGTCGAACTATCAAAGTTAAAGTTCAAATCAAGAGATTGAGATCGGAAATGAATTCATTGTACCATATTGCCCGCTATCACGAATTTTCGAAACACATGCAAACGTTGAGAGTTGTCATTCGGCCAAATCAATCAAATATTTGTGCAAGTACGTCACAAAAGGCAGCGACATGGCTGTGTTTGGTATTGCATCGGAAAATGCGAATGACGAAAACAGCAACTTCCAAATGGGCAGATACGTCAGTACTAATGAAGCACTGTGGCGATTATTGTAATTTCAAATTCATGAAAGATATCCCACAGTTGTACATTTAGCAGTGCATTTGGAAAATGGCCAAAGAGTTTACTTCACTGAGGCTAATGCGGCACAACGAGCTGAGAGACCACCATCGACAATATTGACTAGCTTCTTTGCAATGTGTGAAGCAGATCCATTCGCAGCGACGCTGATGTACGTTGAAATGCCCAAGTATTACACTTGGAATCAATCAACAAAGAAATTCCAACGTCGTAAACAAGGAACCCCAGTTCCAGATTGGCCACAGGTGTTTTCCACTGATGCACTAGGTCGCATGTATACTGTTCATCCTAGAAATGATGAATGTTTTTATTTGCGACTGCTGTTGGTAAATGTACGTGGACCAAAATCATTTGCGCATTTGAAAACTGTGAATGGCCACCAATGCCAAACATATCGAGAAGCATGTCAACTATTGGGTTTGCTGGAGAACGATTCTCATTGTGATTTAACACTTGCGGATTGTGTTGTTTCATCAAATGCGTACCAAATACGAACGTTGTTCGCAATTATCATCACCACATGTTTTCCTTCACAACCAATTCAGTTATGGAACAAATACAAAGACGACATATGTGAAGATATCTTGCATCGCTTGCGCATTCAACGAATAATCCTGACATCCAAATAACCGATGAAATCTACAATGAAGGATTGATTCTGATTGAGGATCAATGCTTGACTATTGCAAACAAGCTACTGATTGAAGTATGGAATGATTGCGACAAATCGATCGATGCACGATGCATTCAACCAAGAATTAAATCGAGAGCTGCAATACAATGTTGATACATTGCAGGAATTCGTTCGAAATAATGTGCCGTTGCTGAATGAATAGCAAAAACAAGTATACGAAACATTAATGCAAGCGGTGGACAATAATACTGGTGGTCTATTTTTCCTGGACGCACCTGGAGGAACAGGGAAAACATTTGTCATTTCATTGATTTTGGCCACTATTCGATCAAGATGTGACATAGCTTTGGCGTTAGCATCATCTGGAATTGTGGCGACTCTTCTAGATGGCGGTCGTACTGTTAGTGGTGTGGTGGTGGCGTGTGTTACTGGTGGCGGTGTACAATTAGCTCTTATTGAAAATGTTTTCAAAAACATTAGTGAGAATTTTCAGAATTATGCTTGGTTAAGTCAACGAGCAATTCTTGCCGCAAAGAATAATGACGTATAACGCTTCGATTCAGTATTTACTTTGGATTCACTTTCATTTACTTAGAGAAGTTCAACTAAATAACACTTCATTTTTGTAATCGAAATGAATTCATTACTGTTGTGAAATGAAATATAAATTTTCCTTTTCAAATATAAAACAAAAAAAAAATTTTTTTAATCACCAATCGAAATGTTACATAAAACGAAGCCATCTGGTGGCGAAACGGAGTTCGCCGGGTTTGCTAGTCTATAATATGTATGAATTTAGAAATATATAAGTATGTTTATCAGCGGTCTGGATACCATTGTACAGGCTCTGCCTAGTTCGTAATCAAACAGCCGTATGTGTGATGAAATCTTATATATAAAATTCTCGTGTCACAATGTTCGTTCCCGTACTCCTCCGAAACGGCTTGACCAATTCTCATGAAATTTTGTGTGCACATCGGGTAGGTCTGAGAATCGGCCAACATCTATTTTTCATACCCCTAAATGGTAAGGGTGACCCATCGCAAAATTTTTTTTAGGCAAAGCAACGTTTGCCGGGTCAGCTAGTTATTATTATAAATTTAAGTTACATCCAGAAACAAAACAAGTGACCATGATCATCAACAGCCTTTAATAGTCCACTGCTGGACATAAGCCTCTCCTTAGAAAGGTGGTTTTGGCCTACTATACCACGCTGGCCAGACGGGTTGGTATAGGGTTTGTGTCAAGTTTTCCTTCTCTCTGCAGTGCTGTTGTCCTGCGTAGTTTTCTCCCTTAGTCGTCTCTTACGACATCCACGGGATGAATAGGGGTGGTGACACTCTGCATTCTTAATCCGTCACCACACGGATAGACTTGCTTCGACCATGATCATGAAACAATTATTCCACCTGGGTGGGAGACGTCCCACAACCTCCGGCTTAATGGTTAAGGTCACTAAACACTAGATTGGTCTAGTGGTTAGTGACCCGTCAAATACTTAAAAATAGAATGTAAATTTAACATTTGTAATTTATATGTATCCACAAATTTAGCATCCATCATGTAGGTATCTATAAATACTTGATCCTGAGATGATGATCATCAAGAGACCATGATTATGTATCTAGATACGCAATTTTAAATCATCATCAAGAGCCTTTAATAGTCCACTGCTGGACATAGACCTCTCCTGAGAAAGGAGGTCCGTGTGGTGACGGATTAGGAATACAGAGTGTCATCACCCCAATTCATCCCGTGGGTGTCGTAAGAGCCGACTAAGGGAGCAACTGCGCAGGACAACGGCAAAGGGAAAGGGAAGGCAAACTTGGCACAAACCCTATACCAACACGTCTGGCCAGCGTGGTATAGTATGCCAAAACCTCCATTTTTAAATAATGCTGGTTAATAGGGGATTATATTACTGTAAAGTAAATGAGAAGAGGCTTCATTTTCAACAGAAGCATACTGTACTCTTGATAAAACTGGATTAAATTGATTCAACACTAAGTATGTAAACCAATATATTATACTCGTAACTGCATATAAAGGACCACTACTAAAACCCATTAATTCGTCTATTTACTGTCAGTTTGGTCATCCAAAAGTTGCCTGTAAGAAATTGCTGTTTAGTGAGAAGGCCGCTATTTCCACATGGTCATTAATTTGATGGCCTCTTATGAACAAAAGAACAAAAAAACTGGTGAACTATAAAGTTTACACTATTCTTTTCTAAAGTAGTTTGTATTTAACATATAATATACCTATATGTTATATTGTAATGAATAGTCATAAGAAGATTAGAAATGAACGAGGAAAGTATAGAAAAATATGAAAGACTAGCTGAGACAACGCCGCGGGACGAAGGTAGTCTAAAAAAAGTAGCCTAAGTTACTCCTTATGTCATCAGCTATCTGCCAGTGAAATCCCCGTTGAAATCAGTCCAGCCCTTCCAGAGATTACCCGGAACAAACAGACAGACAGACAAAATTGTAAAAAATGATATTTTGGCATATGTATCGTGTAAACATACATATGCATTTAGTAAAAAGCGGTTATTTTAATATTACAAACAGACACTCCAATTTTATTTATTTGTATAGATATCAAGTTTCTAAGTTGTCGGAAATATTTTATTTCAAAGACAAACATTAATAGAAACATATACATTTTCTCTTACAAAGACTACATTCAATTCACTTATACGACCATTTCTATGTTTATTTTGCTCCAATAACCGCATCGACTTTTTCTTTAACCGTCTAAGTATATGTTCAGATTGTAAAAATACCTTGCTGCTATCATGAGCATGAGCTTAAAAGGTTTTTAGAAGACTTTTTTCTTTTTAAAAGTCTTTTTGAAGTTGTAAAAATTATTGTGACGACCGGATGGCGTATTGGTTTGTGTAACGGACTGCTATTCCAAAGGTCGCGGGTTCGATTCTCGCTCAAGTCAAACATTTGTGTGCATGAACATTTAATGTTTGATTTGGTCTGGGTGTTTCTATGTATAATATGTATGTATTTACAAAAAAAAGTATATATGTATTTATATCAGTTGCCTAGTACCCATAGTACAAGCTCTGCTTAGTTTGGGACTAGATGGCGTTGTGTGAATGTAGTAAAATATATATATATATATATTGGTCTTGAATAATATTATTATCTTCTTAATTTATTTGTAATTTATGTTTTAATTTCTTTCCGTGCAAACTAAGACAGCGATCGTGCAATCTCTTATCTTCCCTTTAATCGACTACGGTGACGTGTGCTGTTATGACCTGAATGCAGATCTTCTCAACAAGTTATATCATCTTATCAATAACAGCATTCGATTTGTCTTTAATCTTCGTAAGTATGACCATATTGCCGTTTTCGTTCCCAGCTAAGCGGGTTACCATTTCGCCAACACAGGAAAATGCGTGCACTCACAATTATGTACACTATCCTCAATTCCCCTTCCTCTCCTACTTACTTAACAACACAATTTCAACTGTTATGAACCTTCTATGAACTACAACAGAAACCTTCGTTCGGCCAACAATCTCCTTCTACTCTGTCCTTCTCACACCACTGGGTTTGTCGGTTCTTCGTTCTTCGTCCAGGCTGTCCCCTTGTGGAATGCGCTTCCTCTCGAAGTCAGGATGGCCACAAATCGGTACTCTTTTAGGACGAAAGTGAAAGAGCTTTTGCTAAGTGAAAAGTCAGATTCAATTAACTCCTACGAGTAGTTCATCGCCTAAAATTATTATATTTTTTTCTAATCTATATGTATATATATGTGTATGTGTATATAAGTTTATATATGTATGTGTGTGATATTCAGAGGTATACACCAAATTCTAAGATAGTTGGTATTTAACCACCGCTTCCCTGTGTATTTCCATTACGCGATTCACGACTAACAGTTACTCAGTAGTTCAGTGTGTCTTCTTTAGATGGCACTGAAAGATATTTCTGTTTCATTGTATATGTGGTAATCGATCACTGGGCTTAGAGAGACAAGATCACGGGATACGTCATAACAATCATCATTGACATAAATCTCATCAACACTCTTCATTAAAAAAATACATCTCGTTAAATCAATAAAATCTACAGAGTTGTAAATGACATACAAAATATTAGTGGAACCGTTACAAATTCGCTCACCCATCAATTTCCAAGAAACGGCATGCACATAGACCTTTACCCATTTTATAGTAAGACTTTTATAGTGTCGTATACAACGACCGCTGTCTACTGTGTCTTGTACAGCGCGGCGATGGGACTCCGTACAACGATATATGTGAAATTTCGGATTCAGAAAAGGATAACGCGAGCTTCGAAATACGTGTTTATAGTGGTATTATAGCGTGTTGATTGTTGATGTGTTTCTTAATAATATAGGGTTTATTGTCAACATCACGTTTTTTTTTAATATACGGTACAAACGAGCAACTACCGCCACCCATGGACACCTGCAACTCAAAAGTCACAAGTGCGTTGCTGCCCTCGGAGTCAGCGGGAGGGGGGATTTTGGCTCCGGCAACCTCACTTACTCAGTAAAAGGCAACGAAAGAATTGCTTAACACCGGTTTTCTGTGAGGCCGTAGTATATAATTGTATTGATTGCGAGTAGAAAAAAGATATATACAGGTATTTGGCAATTAGAATACCACAGCTAACCAAATAGGCTTTTACTTTGCCACCCAAAGAAAAGAGGTCAAACAATTTTTTAGGATAACTGAGTTAAACGACTCAGTTATCCTGAAAAAAAGATGACTGTTCTGTGGTCTCTGTGATCCTAATAGTTACCTAATAACTAACTGATTACTTATTAAGTACCAACTTTGCAGTCACACTGCAAAATTGCACTGAATTATTCCACACTCCACGAGAACACACCACCTACGTACAAAGACAAGAAAACAGACAAAAACTCGAGCTACGTCACAGACTTTCTTGTCAGTAAAATTAAACAGATTTACTAACAAGAAAGTCTGTTACGTAGCTCTAG